ATTTGTTTGTCATATAGGCCTACTTAGCAACATGTGATTAAAGTATTGACAAAACAGAAAACCGAGAACCTCTGAAACAGATTAACAAGGAAACACTGACATTAATTCATACAGTAATTTCCCTAATTGCATTCACACTGAACCTGGACATGCAAAGATGTCAAATTTAACATTTGAAAAAACAAAACTATTAATGAATAGCATATAACACAAACAAAGTCAATACAACTGAAACAGCCCATGGCACAAAATGATTTAAACTTTAATGTATTGATGCATTTCATCTTAAATTGACATATCAGCTTTTACCTCCACTATATAACCTGTCCCTATACGATATTCCTGCAGGGGAGTTATACCATGCGGTGGATTCGTTGTATGATTTTTCTGGGGTATTAACACTCCTCCATGAGGCAGCAGATTGGCTGCGAGTGCGCACATTTCAGTGCAGCTTGTCAGCGCATCTTTCTCAGTCACCGCCGGATGGGAGGAGAGGAGAGGGATAGATGCGTTAGAGTCAGCAGAGGGAGAGGAAGAGAGAGAGAGAAGGGGGGGAGGCAAGAGGTGGAGGAGCGGTTCGTTATCAGACGTAAAGGTGTAGCCAACGAGGGGCTTCTTCCTCTAAATGATTTCCACTTTCACTGGCCGTTTATTCTGAGCAAAGAGCGAGTCGGGGAGTCATCCACTGCTCCTGACGCGTAAGGGCTGCCCCTGTACGCCTCCAGCCACCACCGCCGCCGATAAAGGATGATAGGCTTGATTGTGTAGCGCAAATTAACATCAAAGTGTCATTACAATACACAGTGAGGAAGAGGAGGAGGTATACGCTATGATCCGAAGATGATCTCTGCCAAGAAAACTCCGGAGAAGAGTCGTTATCCTATCCACTATTTGGTGTGGCACAACAAGCACCGACAGCTGGAGAAGGAGCTGGCAACGAACGAGCAGGTGAGACAGAGACGAGCGATCAGACTCACATCACATCTCCTTTAGTGATGCGGGCCTGGCTTTATTGTAAGGGTTTATATGGGCGTGTGTGTGTGTGTGTGTGTGTGTGGATTTCAGAGGTGGTGGTAGTGAGGATGTCATCCATGGACCACCTCACTGAGGAGTCTGCTCAGTGAACTGGAATAGCGCAGTTAATTGTTATCAGTAGGATGGAGGGAGACACTTAACACCATGGTCGTGTTACTTGAATCCATGACAGACTTTACATGTCAAGGATCTGCTTTATTCCCTGCACTGCACTACATTGGAATCAAAATACCCACCCTTCCACTCGTTTTAGTTAGCATGCCTAGGAAGTTATGTCAGGAGTTTATTCCTGGAAAAAATCCAAGTGTAATTGACTGTAAATGCTGAGTCTGTTTGTGTTGCAGTGTGAATGTGTGTGTGTTTGTCATCTCTGTCAGCGGTGCTTTATGCCAGTGTAGCATAATTCTAAAAACTGTATGCTCTCTACCTTCCCACCGGCACGTTAACCATTTGTGAGTGGGTGAGACAATGCGGATTCTAGGAATAATGACATCCATCACAGCAAATACAGTAATTGAATCATTAAGCTATAGTACAAGCTTTCCAGAGGAGGTGTTTGTCATAATCAAAAGCAGAAAATAATTATTTTCACCTATACTGGTCATGTTACAGCATTAAGGTCGACAGACTTGATAATATGACAACAATTATTCTTTCTTATGTGTGTAAGAAAGAAAGTGACTAAGTAAGAGCTTGTATGTGTTTCAACTCTGTCTTTTTGTTTTCTGCAACTCGACTGAGGCGCTTTGTCATTACATAAGAGATGCTCTGAGGGTTTGCAACTAAACAGATTTTCCAGTGCATGCATCATGCAGCGGTCTCAATACATCGCACATGTACACTTGCCCACACACATTTACGCACACCTGCTTGCACATGCTTATCTTCTTGTGGTTTTAAAATCATAACTAAGGAAGGTCTCTCTTCACACCAAAATGGTCAGCAAGTGCCCCAGCCATCAATTGGTTTACCACAATCCAGAGTGAGGGAATGTGATAATGACATTTAACGTTTAACCCTTGACCATAATTACAACTACATGGTGAAACTGATCTCACCTCGAGGCTTAAAGAACCAGCTAAGACCTGGTAGTAGAGTCACTACAGGTAACAAACAATTTCTTAGAAATGGAAGCTGGAAATGAACTGTGTACACTCTGCAAAACCTTTTCCAAAACTGTGTAACTTTGCCATTGGTTAATACTCATCTTCAGCCCATTTTCATTCATTACTAAAATAAAAAGAACCTCTCTTTCTGGTTTGGTTATAAAAGTTGAGTGCAGATTCCTTGTAAACATCCATCTTTAGCCTGTAGCTACACTAGTTGTGTGAACATTGTCAGTCCACAGTCAGTCAATTTCTATGTGTAGTTTGAAATGTCTTGAAAACTATTGGATATATTGCCATTAAATTTGGTGCAAAACCGATAGTCATTGTCTCCAGAGGGTGAATAACCTTGATATTTGATCCACTACCACTAGTATCCATCCATTCATCCATCCATCCATACAGCTTGTCCTTTTGAGGGTTGCGGAAAGAGGAGAATCTAAATCCAAGCTGACATTGTGCATGAGGCTTGGCACATCCTGGGCAGGTCAGCAGTATGTGCCAGGGCCAACATACAACCATTCTCACTACATCACTGACGATTTTGAGTTTCCAATTAATCCCAATCTTCATGTCTTTGGACTGTTGGAGAAAACTCATACACACACGGGAAGAACATGCAAACTCCACACAGGAAGACCACGGACAAACTGTGGAAACTTCTTCTAGTTAGGTGACAGTGCACCACTGTGCTGCCTGACACAAACAAGACAAAATACTGGATCAACACTTAAAGGGATAGTTCACTGAAAAATGAAATGAAAAAAAATTATCATTCATTATCTGTTCACCACATTGCAGATGGAGGGTGAGTGAAGTGTTTGATTCTACAAAACACTTCTGGGGTCTCAGGGGTAAACGTTGCCTCAGCAGAGTCCAATACAATGGAGGTTAAAACATGGTGTAAATGACCATGTTTGGTCATGACACTTGGATGACACCACACAAGCAGTATAGAGGCATGTTATGTTTTTTCTGAAGAAGAGGACACCATTGACTTCAATTGTATTTGATTCTCCTGCAATGCTGTTTACCTCCTCCAGAAGTGTTTTGTGGACCCAAACACTTCACCTGCCCCTCCATTGGGATTGTGGTGAGTGGGTACATTTTTTATTTTTCAGTGAACTATCCCTTTAAGCTGATGACACTCATCATTAGTGATGCAGTGTTGACATCTTCCATGTTTGTAGGAGGAGCTGGTGCCAAACCCAGCTGACAGTGAGCGAGAGATGGGATACACCCCAGTCACCAGTATATCCCAGTGCTGACATATACAGACAAACAGCCATTCATCCTCAGTCACACCTAAGGATAATTTAGAGTCTCCAATTAACCAACCACAATATGCATGTCTTTGGACTGTGGGCGGAAGCTCCACACAGAAAAATCCCAGCTGAGCAAGGATTTCAGCCGGGAACCTCCTTGCTACGAGGCAGCAGTACTGCCCACTGCATCATCATGCCACCCTCAAGTTTATCAGTTATTTTAATTATAATATAAATATGAAAGCAAGCTCCCACAAAGTTTATAAAAGATATTTATAAATATACCATTATATACATCTTATTTTGTTTCCCACTGATGATATCACTCATAACCTAGTTCATTAATATGCTGTACTTTGCCAGTATAATTGATAGTAATTTGTAGGCTGCATCCGTGTTAACAAAATGTGAATTATTGACATGGACATGTTCTTCCTAAACCTTTACATCAAGTGCTTTAAACCGAGACTTTAGGCTGTTTGTTTCACACAGATAGGCTCAATAAATTCTCCTCTCAACCCCATAGTCATTCATTTTTTAGGAACCCTTGTATCTATAAATATTTTATGATGCAAATTTTTATTGCTTTTCTGGCTGTGCATTTGAGGCAAGGACCTTTTAATATATTATTTTTTTTTGTACATAAAGCTATACAGAAAAATCAGTTTATGACATACTTTAAACTGAGGCCCTTGTTTATATGAGCAGCTCTGCTTAAACTAGGACAGAACAAATATAAGATGCTCAAACCTTGAGCATCTGTCAGTAGTGAAAATCACATATATACACACATTCGTTCTGGATGGAACTTCCATGAATGGTAGGTTAAACACATTTTTGAAGCACAGGGTTTTTTGCAATTTGAGGAAGAAAAGAGACAGAAGTTGAAATCTGAAGGAATAATTAAAAAGTAAGTTATTAAAATGTAAATCATTCTAGAGCTGCTAAAGTACCCACACTAGTAAACCAGGACAACAAAACTACCTCACCAAGTATTTC